AACATGGAACTGATCAGCTATCTCTTGCACAGAGAAATGCTGTCCCAAAAATCAAAAATATCAAAAGCCAGGAGCAAATTATAATCACTTCAGAACCTGACGTGACTTCAGTATTTCTCAAGTCTCATGCAAGATCAAAATAGTCACGGAGAGTTTTTTCATGCTGGGAAGCAAACTTCTTCAGCATACTGGAGTTGGTGGGTATACTCTCCATATTCTGCCTTACAGAAACAATCTTAAAACTTTTTGAAACAAAATGAGATTGTTTTATCTCAGATTACCATATTACTTATGAATAAGCTTTTAACTGAAAACAAACTGAATTTTCCTTTTTAAATATTTCTCCAGAAATTCCACAGTTTGGGAATGACTGAAGTGAAGTAAGCTTTGGAAGAAAAGAATAATAAGAAGAACCCATTGACTGGGATTTTAATTTGTCTCCCTCAGTAAGTTTGGCTCGCAAATGCATCTGCATATATTTGCTCCTTCTTTTTTCACTTCTAAAAATAAAGATTTCTTGCCAAATTATAAGAAAAAAAAATATACCTTCTGCAAAGAGAGATTTTTCAAAAAGATTCTTTTCTTTCATTTAATTAAAAATGAGATCACAGTGGATCTTTTATCTGTGAGCTGGAACCTAAAAACACTTTTGATTGATGTCTGCCAGTATACACAAAAGCACACAAGAGTTTAGTGTTGCATTTTTCATAGGGCTTTTTGCTTGAAAGCCCATAGGTGATCTTGAATCCATGTTCCGAACTGCTTGCACATGAAGATTTTTTAAAATCCAACACAAATTCAAAATACTGAAACTCAAACTACTGTGAAATCATTATGAAACTGCAATTAAGAAAAAAATATCTCCATTACCATATATCTCCACTTAACTAAAATAATTTTATTAAGAGAAGCTGTGATATTCACATACCATGTATTTACAGTCTACTCCTCCCCATTTATCTGGATTTCCACATGCTTTTTTTTTTACAATTGTATGCATATCACATATGCCATATGGGACTCATAAAAAATAATAGGGAGAAAAGACCAAGATGATGGAGGTTTAATTTCTTTTGTTTATGAAACCTTTTTTAAAAAAAAAACAAAACCAAACCTCTCAACTTCAGAATTCTACATTCCTGATGTAAAAAAATTTGAATAAAAAGGAGTGTGAATGCAAGATTTGTGTGGCATTAAGGTAAATTTAAGACTGTAAGTCAGGCTAAAAAGGATGACTGTTGTCATCTTGTTAAGCCAAAAGAACTGTCTATAGACAGGTGACAAAAATACGTGCATCCATTTTGCTTGCAAATGTAATCCTTGAGTGATAGGTTTGGGAGCTAACATGGTACTACAGCAGTGTACTGAAGAACCTCATCCCCCAGCTCAGATAATAGATATATTCAAATTTATCTCTTTAAAGAGATAAATAATAATTAAAAGAAACCAGGATTTGGACTTTTTTTTTTTCATCTCAGTTACTATTAGTACCATTTCCTATTTAAAATTATTTTCCACATGCTAGATATTGGTCAGAAACTACTTTGCCACCCTCACATATTTAATTTTTAATAAAAACATATGATAAAACATATTCTGTTTTATCACTTTTTACCATCATTTTATGAACTAAGAAGGGAATTAATGCTTGTTCATTGGGGCATCTTTTTGGGGCAAGGAGGTCGAGGGAGTGACTCTGAGTTCTTCTTCCTTTGAGACATAAATAAGGAAGTTTACGTCTTGGAAGAAGCATGTGAGTGGGGAGGCAAAGTGTGTGTTCTTCTTCACTAAATTAACATATTACACACTTGAGCATGTGGGAAGCTGGAACTTTTCTCTCTGGAAATGGATTACCAGTGCTATTGGAGGCAGGAAGAAGACAAATTTTGCTTCATGCTTGAAGAGTCCTGCTCACAAAAGAGTCCTGTGAGGTAAGCTGCAAGTGTTAAGTGGCCTTGTGTCTCTGCTAGTGCAGTAGGAGAAACAAGTCACACAGACT